TGAGATGTTTACTTCGTCAATGTGAGGATAGTTTATAGTCTCCCATTATTTCTGCATGTCCCATTTTAGCAGTTTCTCTTATCTCCCTGAGCATTTCCTGATCAGGTGGTCAGTAGCACATTTCTAATACTGTACTCTTTATTCAGGTATGGCATTTCTACCCATAGGGGTTTTATCTTTCTTTCAGATAAGATTTTTATGTTGTTACTATGTATACCAGTGATTCTCAACCCTTTTGGACTCAAGACACCCCACCACTCCCCTCTCCCTCATTGTACTTGAGATACTCCATTATTTTTGTGAATTGAGTGGCACACAATTTCAAAAACTAATTTATATATTACAGTGCTTACCTGCTTGCAGAGGGGATGGGGGATTTCTTAGGCAGGGACAAGCCTCAGACTGCATTTATTTACTTAGCTTATCTGCTTATCTCCTCACACCTTGCTTATTCCCTAACACTTCATGGCACCCTTCAAAGGATCTGGTGGCATACCAGGGTGCACCAGCATCCTGGTTGAGAATCACTGGTCTATATTATCCTTAACTTACAGCGCCGCTCCTCCATCTGTACGTCCTATGTTCTGATTCCCATATAGTTTGTAACCCAATATAATGGTATTCCATTGGTTATCATCTTTCCAACCAGTCTCTAAAATGCCTATTATGTCAAAGTCATCATTTAATACCAGGCATTATTATTTATCCATCTAATTTTTTAGGCTTCTGTTATTTGTGTAGAAGAACTTGTAAATTTTGCCCTCGCTCAGCTGTCTGTTACTGCTCATACTATTAGATTCAGATTCTAGATCAGTGATTCTCAACTAAGGTAAAGGGGAACCCTCAGGTGCTGCCAGACCTTTTGAAGGGTACCAGGGTGTTTAAGGAGGTAAGTTAAGTATTAGGAGATAAGTAGATAAACTAAGCAGATAAGCACGGCTCAGACTTGTCCCCAGACAATCCCTCCGTCTCCACTGTCAGCCTCTCTGCAGGGTAATAAGCACTGTCATCTATAAATTAGTTTTTGACATTGGGTGCCACTCAATTCACAAAAGTTATGGAGTCCAGTGAGGGGTGCCTCAAGTTCAAAAAGGTTGGGAACCACTGCTCTAGATGTTCTGACTTACCCTCAGTACAGGTTTCCCTTGCTTTATACAGGTTCTGTATGTGCAAATTTGCTCTTGTGTAATGACCCTTTTTATACCAAAAATTTGTTATATGCAAGGTAAATTCACTCTTATGCGATCAGTGTGATGGAAGCCTGCACTCAGCTGCTTTGTGCAGTGCATTGTGGGAGTGACACAACCAAAATATAGTCTTCTGTGTGGATCTGTGCTCCTCGCTTGTTGTCTGCAACATGTGTTTCTGTAGTTGCCATCCCCATTAGGATAGTGTCCTGTGCTTGTGTGTACTGTCTGCTGCTGGTGAGTACCAAAATTGTCTTGTAAAAGTAGTAGAAATGGGTCTGAGGGTTAGTACAGTTGAGGTCTTGGAACGTACCCTATTTGTTACATTGTAAAGTGGGTTCCCTTTACGTGAATTCAAGTTATGCGCTATTTTCCAGGAACGCATGTACAACATAAAGCAAGGGAAACCTGTATTATCTATAGTAATAATCCTTATTCCCCTACTATCCTCTTCAAGACAGTATAGAATATGAATGGTGCCCCCCTTTGGGGTTGGGTCAACCTTACCTGTGTGCTTTTCTGAACCTGTTGGCTTTCCTCCATTTTTAGTACAAAAAGTGCTCTATGACCTTTTTAAATTTTTAATCCCAGAAGTCTGGTTCCTTTCTGGTTCAGGTGGAACCCATCTTTTCTTTATAGCTTCTTTCTGTCCCAAAAGGTTCTCAAGTTTCTGATAAATCTAAACACATCACCCCAGTGCCTGGAAGGAGCCTGATCCTGCCCTCCCTCCCTCCCAAGTGTCAGGTCGCGGGGCAAATGGGCAGCTCAGGTTGGGTTGCCAGTGCACACAGAGCCCCCCTAGCAATGCAGAAGCCAAATCCATCTGCTCAGTAAAACTGCACAGAGCTCCCCCATGGCTGTCTTGGGTAGGGAACCGGAAATCCAAATACACTGGAGCCTGCCCGATGGGCATGAGCTGCTTGCGGTGGATGCAGACAGTGTGTGGTTTGGAGGCAGTGTGCGACCCCAAACTGCATCAGATCCCTCTGCGGGTCAGCGCGCAGTGCTGTAGTGCCGCTACTGAGGTCTGTTTTGCGGTGTTGCAAAGGGGAATCCTGCGGCCCCCTGGATGCTTCATGCAGTTCTCGACCCCAAATATAGATCTGTCTGTCTATCTGTCTTTTTATAGAGATACATTATATATAGGAAAAGATTGTATATATCAATATATCTATACATTTTGGTTACATAATTATGTGATTGTAGCATTAAAGCACAGGTGTAATGGGTATATCAGGGTACATATTCAGTATGTGAAGTTTAGCTAATATTTAATATTTCAGGAATTTATACAATTCAGTTTTACAGTTAGAAAAATGTCCACCAGATGGTGCCATGCAATATCTAATGAGATAACCTAAAATCAGAGGAAAAAAGCAGTATATTTTTAGTGAGAGGCTAAGAGCAGGAAGGAGTGTGCGGTGCTCTGTGGAAGCGCACCGTCTAACACTCCACTGACTCAAGGGTCTCCAGTGTCTTGCTCCCCTTCAGATGACTCCAAAGCGGAGGCAATTAGGGTTGGCTCCCCAGAACCTTTCTCCCTCCGGGTGTGTTTTACACTGGTAACAGCCCTTTGCCCCATTGTTGTGTCACACTTCTCCACCTTCCTCCTCTCCATCTGTTCTGAATTAGTGTAAGTGACCTCTGTTTAATAAGTGGAAGGTAAGGCACTGCCAGCTCGGAGTGGACTTGTGAGGTGGACAGGCCTTAGGATCTCAGAGGCTGCAGCAGTTGGAGTTTAATAAAGATCTCCCTTCCTTTTCTTAATAAAGTTTATGCCACTCTGTACCTTGAGAATAATAGTGTAAGAAATAGACAGATAGTTATAGATAGATATATCTATCTATAACTATAGGCCAGTTAGTCTTACCTTGATCCTAGGCAAGCTGTTTGAGAAAATAATTCTGGCACACATCCAGGAGGGGACAGCAGGGGACTGCATGCTTAGGGGCAATCAGCACGGGTTCATCAGTGGCAGGTCCTGTCAGACCAATCTGGTGGCTTTTTATGATCAGATCACCAGATCATTAGATGCAGGGGTAGCAGTGGACATAGTCTTCCTGGACTTCCGGAAGGCTTTTGACACTGTCTCTCACCC